GTTGTATAGCAATTGTCTAAGTGAATCAGTCAAAATATTTTCAGCTAGGTTACATAGATATTTAGCTATGGGCTATTTTTCATTGGCACCAAAATCAGTTCCGAGTAGCCTTAAAATGTTTAGGCACAGCTTTATAGGACTTAGCTTAGTGCTATGTGTTTAAAAGGTAAATTAAATTTTGCCGTGTGTCTGTTTAACAAATAGGTTCCAAGTTGCCGTGCGTCTGTTCAGTAATAGATCACAGATGACGTCAAAATGTGGTAAGAACAAAAAAGTGGCACACTGATGTTCTTACCACATTTTGACGTCCTATGTGATCTATTACTGAACAGACGCACGGCAACTTGGAATCTATTTGTTTTATATAATAAAGAATTGAAAAGAGTTTTAATGATGACGTCATCTATACGTCTGTCCTCCAATAGATCATAAGTGAGAACCAATCAGAATGCATGCATAACTGAGCTTATTATATAATTAGTTATAGATAACAGATGACGTCACATAAGGTAATAACGTAACACATGAGCCGTTAGCGAGTGTATCACTTCGGTTATCACATTTTGATCTTCTGATCGGAAACGCGGAAAAATAAAATATGTACGCTTCATACAATTAACCTGTTGATATTTTTCTGATTTGATATTTTTCTTGTTTGTAAGCAGCTCGTGGTTCATTGATTTTCCGGTGAAGCCCTCTTTAGCTTAACCGCAAATTATCTCGGAAACAACTAGTTTTTAAACCGTGCATCATAAGGGAAAATACAAACAAAAAATGTTTGTGTGACGAAGGTACCTGTGCGTCTGTATCCCGATAAATCATAGATAACGACCATTAACAGAACCCTTGATATTTCTCTGTATAAAAGTCTTTATAATGATTGTTCAAGAAATATTTTCGCCGGAGGTTTGTCTTTGTGTCTACTTGACAGGATCAATGTCAGCACTTATTTTGATAACCGTGCATATGCATGTGATAGGTTGTGATCTAACTTGTAATGTATCATTCAAGGTTTTATATGCATGTATAACCTCACTTGTAAATAAATTTCATCCAATTTCTTGTCAAATTGGCTACTTATGTCTGTGACCGAGTCGTTAGGGTGATGGAAATTTTATCTGGTGGTCCCATGTTCCAGATTTCCACCCTGTTAATCATTGAATTCTTTCGAATTCTCACTTGCCCTGAGTCAGTTCACTCTCCTCGGTTGCACTCTCTAAACAACGCACTGGTCTGCCTCCTGACTTTTTGAAAATTTAACAAGTCTATGTTTATTGAAAGGCCCCCATGGTGAGTGGTCTTTTTAAAATGCTATCATTGTCAAATATTTGATGATGGTCTTTTAAACATAATTATCATAATTATTATTATCCAACGTTTATAGTTTCTATTTGAAACAGGAAACTTAATGAAAGGCTGAAATCTTGAACATAACTATTTGTTTTTGTCGCTTGGAAGCTCTTTCTACCCTCGGGTATAAACATGCTCATGAGAGAAGATGGCTTCATAGTCCATAGTCGAATAGCGCACAAGAGACCACATTTTCATCAGGAGTATTGCGAAAAAACACTGTAATAGAGGGTCAGTTGATACTTACTTACTTTCTTTCTTCTCCATTTACTGTGTTTTTTTATTTACTTATTGCATTCCTTTTGTTATACAAAGAAACAAACTGAAAAAGAAGTAACTACACCATCGTTAGGTATTTTACGATATTCTATATGACAAATCATGCATGTACAACGAATGTTATCTCATACCGCTGACAAGATGCCAAAATGACCCGGGGCTCGAGATTGTGGTTTGCCTTGACTCACACCATGTGGAAAACTGACCGAGAAAGCCTGGGGACAATGTTGTAAATGTGAAAGATGGATACCCATTCTGGAATTCTCTTGACCAAATGTGCTCAGTTTCGAGAGGAAGGGCAATTTGTCGGCGTTCGTTTAAAAGTCGGTAAAGAAACTTTTCCCGCTCAATGCAATGTGCTCGCTTCGTACAGCGATTACTTCTACGCCATGTTTGCCCCAACAGACCATGTTATCGAGATCTTTTCACGTTAATCTTTGCATCACGGCTTATGTCACTAGTAACTAAGCAACCAAACTAGGTGGGAATTAGCATAGTTTTCAGTGGGAGGTCATGCGAACAGAGTACAAAAACATTTTGGTTTCCTTCGAAGTTTCTGCAAGCAGAGATCTTCGCGTTAAAACAGCACAAAGATGGTGGCCCATTCTAGAATTCTCCTCTCTAAGTGTTCCCAGTTCTGTAGAGAAGGAGAATTTATCGACATTCGTTTGAAAGTGGGTGATAAATTTTTCCCAGCTCACCGAGTTGTACTTGCTTCATATAGCGACTATTTCCACTCCATATTTACTGATGGGAAAGAAGCAAACCAGGAAGTGATCGAAATGAAAGACAAAAGCATTTCACCAGAGATATTCAAGATCGTTATAGACTCCATTTACACTGGTGATCTTCACGTCAACCAGAAGAGCGTATTTGAGGTTCTTCTCGCTGCTAGTCAGCTTCAAATCGCAAGTGTTGTTCAGCTGTGTTGCGATTTCGTAAAGAAGGAATTCATAGAAAACAGAATTGACCCGAAGAGGTACTCCGCGCTGTGTACAATCGCCGAAAGACTCGGTCTGAGAGATCTGCAAGAGGCCGCAGAGGTTAAGATGGCATCCGTTTACAAAGATGTTTGCGAAAGTAAAGAATTCTTGACTCACATCAATGCAGATCAACTACTCAGCCTTCTTGGTCGAAATGACCTCAATTCACCCTCTGAAGCTTTTGTCTTCAAATCAGTGATGAAGTGGATCAAATACAAAGGAGAAGAGAGGATGCCAGTCGCTGGAAAAGTTATCGGAGCTGTTCGCCTGGGGCTGGTAGACGCTAAGATTGTGATTGAAGAGTTGAAAACAGAAGAAATGCAGCGATTTCCAGAGGTAAACATGCATCTGCAAGAATCCATGATGCATCACATCATGCCTTCTCATGAGTTTGCCGCTGAGAAAGTTAAACCTCGATCAATGAGACCGGTGAGTGAACAGCTAAGCTCTTTAACTGCTTCCTTTATCTACAACGCAGCTTTTGTTGAGATCTTACAGTACACTGAGTTTCACCACAACTAGCTCCAAGATTTGACATTTCTGAAGTGTCATTTGCATGTTAATTCGTTGTCCTGATTCTATCAGCGACAGAGTTCGATGATTTTCATTGAGAATCGGTCAATTAGTCAGTCCGCCACTTGATCAAGAAAGCAAGTTTTTATCTATGCACGGGGTATCTATATTTACAATAACCCAGAGACTGCATGCCGTGTTGTCCGTACCGTGATCGATTAAAACTATTTCAATAAAAATATACGTGCGCAACAAATTAAGCATCTACTCTAGTATATTTTTGGAGCCTTAAATTGAATACTTTCTTTGCAAAAAAATTCCAGAATGTTAGCTGAAAAGAGGAATATTCAAACGATTGTGTCTTGTTTTAGGTGCTCGTTGCCATTCACCCTACGATCTGTATTAGGGTACCCAAGACATCTCAAAACGCAGAGAGCATCAAGTACGGTGCGTATAATCGTATGTCACCACAGTGTATAGCTTATTTCTTTGATTTCGAAGCGAAGCTATGGAAACCTTTGCCATCTGTGGCACAACCAGATGAAGAAACTAGAGTAAGTTTGTGTGCTGAACGCATTGGAAACTACTTATTTGTAGCTCAACGGATGCAGGACAAAGTTAATTTCATACATCGATATGATGTGGTAAATAACTCATGGGTTAAATTACCAAAATACGGAAGCAACCACGAAGTTAACTGCTTGTGTTCTGTTGGTGACTATCTTTACACCATTAATGAGTCAAATCCTCCTCAAAGGTACAGTTTGACAAATAACAGTTGGCAAGGTGGAGAAGGCTTAAAAATAGTAGAAAACCAGGAGAAGTTAAGTACTGTAGCAGCAACGGTAATGAACTCTAAAATATATGTAATTCATGGTTATCAAAAATGTGAAAGAGATGGAAGATACCTCAGTTGGGTCAATGCACCAGCTGTGGTTCATTGTTTTGACCCAAAATATAATTTTTGGACAAAACTCGCCTCAACCTGCCATCCCCGCCGTGGATCCAGTCTTTTTGTTGTCAATAACAAACTGTGTGTGGCGGGAGGATATATTCCTAGCTATTTTGACCCTACGCGTGTATCTGTGGAAGTGTATAATGAACGTACAAACACCTGGTCTGTAGTGCCTCAGAAACATATTCCCCCAAACAACTTGGGTGCAGTTGAAATAGAGGGGACGGTGTATTTCATCATCAACAAATTTCCAGTTGACAGTGGGATAAGAATTCCACCTGAGGAAATGTATCAAGTTGACTTAAGTGACTGGGAAAACTTAGCTAAAGTCCTTGATAGTGGAGCAGTTTTGTGTTACTTGCCAGTCAAGGGAGAAAACTTGAAGGGAACTTAGCAAAGGGAATAGTTTTATATCAAAATGGATGACACTTGCATTTAATTTTATGCCCTCGGTGGTCGTTTTTGTTCAATGGGTTTAGTTACAGTAGTGAAACTCACTTATTTCTAAAAACAAGGAAAGTGAAGAATCCTCGTGCGTTTTTAAAACTTAACAGAGATCGATTTTTTAGATTTGCTTTTCACCATTTTCCTATTCAATAATTTGTAGTTTAATATAAGGTGAAGTGTACACCGACATGGTACCCGTAGAACTGTCATTGTGTTCCCCGTTGTAGAGAAAATGTCTGAGCCGGAAATTAGAATTAATATTTTCAGGTTAATAGAAATTTGGGTCCTTTTCAATGGCACTCTTCTTGGATCCGAGTAGCATTTAGATGTAAAGGAACAGCTTAACAGGACTGAGCTTAGCGTTCTATAAAGTAAAGTAAATTCGATTTTGCCGTGTATCTGTTTAGTTGTAGACAAAAGCAGGTTACGTCACGATATGGTAATAACAGTAAATTGGCGCACGAACCGTTAGTGAGTGTATCACATATCAGTCACGCAGAAATGAAATGAATCTGGTTCATACAATGAACATGTAGATATGTTCCTGATTTGGTATTTTTCAAGTAATCTAGAGATTGGCCTCTTTTTCTAGCTTACAAGCAGCTTCTGGCTAAACTATTTCTAAAGCCCTTAAATTGTGATGTCAGCTGTGCGTCTGTTTTCTAATAAATCATAGATAAATAAACAATAGCCTCTACTTAGCGCGAAAATATACACGGATATTTGACATTATCTGTTTCAAGATGCGAATAGTATTCCGAGAGCGAAGCTCAAGGAAAACTGTGAACTTCGAGAAGAGGCCTCCATGGAGGGTAGTTTATTAATTTTATTATCAATATAAGGATTAGTGTCCCGATATTATGACCATGGTCATAGATACAATGATGATGATTATTAATGTAATTATCATTATTACTATTAATTAGCCATCCCTGTTGTAGTTTCTCTTTGAGCACGAAACTTAATAAAAGGCCGAAATCTTCGGGCCAGGAAACTCTTTCCACCCTCAGTAGTATACATAAGCTCACGAGGGAAAATAGCTCCATAGTCCATCGTCGAATAACGCACACGAGACCAGATTTTCATCAGGAGTATTGCGAAAAAACCACGTGCAAGAGAAGGTCAGTTGATGTTTTCTTGAAGCACATAAATGGTAGTCATATTTTCCTAGCTAATCGAGCTGAGACTTCGCATAAATTTTCTTCGCTCATATCCTATTGTTTTAAGAACCACGTCCACACTTAGCACCCCGAAAAAATGTATGGCCGGAAAAGGAAAATGCAACTTGATAGAAAATGTGAAATAGGCGTGTATGAAGGACAGAGTGAAAATGTAAGTCTTTTTTGGGGGGGTGGGGGAATTTTTTAAAAGCGCATTCTATTGTCCCAAAACATCACTAAATAAAGTAATGAAAAAGATAAAGAAACCTGTTTCAATCATCATGTTTCATCCAAATACCTCCCCTTAGACATCTTAAAACTTGCCATGTTGAGCTTTAGTCGCAGAAGCCATAAAAATAACCCTCTCAATATACCAAAAGTGATCATGATGAAAGCAGACAATGAATCGAAAATTTGCCTGTTGAATAAAAAACGAAAACCTCTTTCCTCGCCTATGAACGCCAATTTAAGTACAACACTGGTGAAGATTTTACCGTGAAAGACACTAGTATGTAGATGTCAGGTATCTATACAGAGAGTGTCCGAATTGCGTTAATGAAGTCCTCGGTAGACTACGTCTGGAATCGTCGGCGAGCGGTTGTAGTATTTTCTTGAGGTGCTAGGATAGTTTTTGCAGTATGCAGGGGACCCACAGAGCGAGACTACAGGTCCTATTGGAAGACCAGTTTTGTGAACTTGGTAGAACAGGGAGTTTTGGTTTCATTAAGGTGTTATCTGTTATACTTCGCCTTTGTTCTTTGTGGCGTAACACTCACTACTCGAATCGACAAATCTTCATTTTACTCCTTACTCTCGACTCTGAGGATAACTTCCGCCATGATTATGGAAACACCAGTCACTACTGACGAAAACTCCTTCTCAGGACAACTCCCACCCGGAAGAATTTACTTCACGATCAAATATTACTGCATTATGTATTTTTGTATTCATTTATATTCTTTATTTTTTACAAAGAAACAAATTGAAAAAGAAGCAACTGTACCAACGTTAGGTATTTCACGCGGATACGCTCTGACAAGTTATGTCCAGCAAATTTTATCCCAGATTGAGGTTGATTTTAACATGGAAGCCGTGACCAACAATTTTCTTCTGCGTGAAGTTTTAATCGCGTTACAAGCACCAAGGTCAGGGTTACTTTAAGGCGCAGGAAAACTCGACTTCCGTTGACGAAGTTATTAAAATGAAAACGTAGTGAGCTCTCTGAAATGGATACTTATTCTGGAATTCTCTTGACCAATTCAAATGTGTTCAGTTCCGAGATGAAGAGCAGTTTATCGACGTCCGTTTAAAAGTCGGTAAAGAAACTTTTCCCGCTCATCGCAATGTGCTCGCCGCGTACAGCGATTACTTCTACGCCATGTTTGCAGATGGAATGAAGGAATCGAACTAGGAAGTGATCGAACTGAAAGATGAAAGCCTTTCACCACACGTCTTTAAGGTCGTTATGGACTCCATCTACACCGGTGAACTTCAGATCAACAAGGAAAACGTGTTTGAAGTTCTTGCTGCCGCAGACTATCTTCAAGTGAGGAATGTTCTTCAACAATGTTGTGATTTCTTGTTGACTGAAATTATTCAGTCAGCTCGCTTTGATGTGCAAATGTATTGTTGCGTTTGGACAATTACCGATAGACACAGCCTTAGAGAAGTTAAGGAGGCCGCAGATTCACAAGATGGCATCCATGTATACAGATGTTAGTGAAAGTGAAGAGTTCCTGTCGAATATCGACGCAGACCAACTACTCAGCCTTCTCAGTCGAGATGACCTCAATGCACCTTCGGAGACGTTCATCTTTAAATCAGTGCTGCAGTGGATTAAACACAAGAAGGAGGAGAGGATGGCAGTTGCATCCAGAGTCATCGGAGCAGTTCGTCTGGGTCTGGTGGACGTCAAGGTCGTGATTGAAGAACTAGAAAAAGAAGAAATGGAGCGAGATCCTGAGATCAACAAACATCTACAAATAGCAATGAAGCGTCACTGCATGCCTCACAAATTTGCTGCGGAGGAAGTTAAACCGCGATCGATGAAAACGGTAAGATAGAAAATATCCGCTACAAAAATCAATTAAGACTCTTTTAACTCAGGAGCTTAGACAATGGAGGTCATTTTATTTGATGAATATCTTTTATTGTCAGTGTTATAACCGCTATAAAAATGGCATTTTTCTCTCGTATAACTCAGATATGATTTTCCTCTGTACCACTCGTACAAAACTCGTAAGCCGACTCGTATTTGCCGTGATTCTTCCGATTTGAGTAATGTTAATTCGATCCCAATCATTGTTCTACGAATTTTAACTTACCTAGTGTCGATTAGCAGTAATTTGGATGAATGCATGTTTGATAATTGACTGAATATTGAGTATTATCTTGGTTTGGCTATCTTGTCTTCTTTTCACTCAGTTTGGCTTTTGCACAGTTGATGAATTATAAAGGTATCACAAGTTTCATCAGTGCCCCAATTTTTTTGGTTTCAAATCTGAATCTACAACATCATCTGACGGTAATCAACTTAGCGTACTGTTGCTTTGTGTTATTTAGATGTTCTGTTGTATCCTGGCTTCTGTCTTGTTCACCCCCGCTACTTGTTTACATGACTGTCGTTATCTCATGTGAATGGCAAATATAGGTCGGCATGCATGCGGTCGCTGTCTTTTCGTGACTGTCGCTAAAAAGATGTCAAATTGCAATCGGCGATAGAATACTTATTGCCTATCCTGGCATTGAGTTAATATCATCGCTGAATTATGCCTTTGATTTGACGCCATTTCCTGTTTCGGTTTGTTTTCTGGACGAGTACAACACAGAGTAGGGCAGGAGAAGAATTATATTGTGGAGCTGAATAAAACCTTGAACCATAGCATGCATAGCATACACATGCAGTTATTTTCTTTTTGTCGAAAGTGTTATACCAGGACTTTATCCAATGCAATGCAAGAAACGAGTTTTTCTTTCCTAAACTGCACGGCAAGAAACGATGTTATTAAAACGGGGAATGGGGACTGGGGACTGGCTAATGAGGATTGGAAAATAGTTAATGGGGAATAGAGAATAAGGAAAGGACAATGGAGAACAGGCAAATAGGAAAATTGGGAAATGAAGCGGGAAATTGTTAAATGGGAAACTATTATTTTTTCTAAAGTTAACTGTCTGTAATGTGGAATAAACAATTTTTCAATTAATTATGTTTCTTTTATTTTGCCGCGGTACGTTGCAAAAATCGTGTTCATCGATAATCATCGCTGAAATTATTTCCCATTTTCAGTTTTCTAATTCATTTTCCCATTCCCAATTCCCCATTCCTCGTTTAAATAACATCCCGGCTTGAAACAAATAAATAAAAGTTGTAAGGTTAAAAAACAAAAACTTTTTTTATTTTCAGGAGGAGCCCCATAAGCGAACTATTAGGAAACTAAGTAAAAATCATACCCTAGCAGGATTATTCATCCACTAGATTGCGGGCTAATAAAAAAATATTATTTTTTCGTGAAAAAATGATATATAAAGTGCGCTGGATATCATTAACATGAACTTTACGTTTAACTTTACGATAACTCTTTGTTTGTAAAGACTGCGATATTTAAATCTCATGTATTGAAAGAAACTATAATGTCACATTTTTTCACTAGAAGATTAAAAAATTCTGATTGATTTAGATTTATTTTATTTTCTTCCTCTCCTTCTTATTTCACATGTTTATTCACTATTCTGTAGGTTCTTGTTGCGTTTCGCTCAAAGGAAAGGTCATACTGTTACAAGGCTGCTG